CCAGATGGTGCAGTGGACACATGTGTGACTGCTGTGATTAAAGCATCTTTCTTTCAGCTTAACGAGTGAACCGTCAGCTCGTTCAAACACACCTTAAAGTGCGTTTGGCTCGACACCACCGAACAGAGGCAGCAATATAACACAGCTCACATTAACAGTGCAGTGAATCCTGCTTGTGCCGCGATGTTCAGGACTGCAAACCGAGCAGCATCACTGACTTTCAGCTTGTTGTGTTTGTGGATATATGACTGACTTTAATTATCCACAAAATCATCACATCTCTCTAAGATTAAGGTCGACTATTGAACGGCGTATAAAGTAAAGGCTTTAAAACAAAGTAAATGCTGAAAGTACAAACATCGCTAATGTCACATAACTTTGCCGACATGTGGCCAACAGGAATGTTTTAATGTTCTTCGTTATTAAACAACATAAATAAGTGACGTCATATTCAGTACTTACTTAAAGTTCACTCTACACCCACCGCCGCGCTATGAAGTCTGGGATATGTTGGGCCATGAAAGCTTCACAGGCCCGTCCTTAAAATCCAGGGAAATGAAGGACGCATTTGAGGGCCGCATTTCGAGCAGCCTTTGAATTGGGACAGCCTTCGTCCGTCGCTGTGACGTAATCGGCCTTCAAATGCAGCCTTTAAGGCTGCAGACCCTGAATTGGGACACAGCCCATGTGTTAGTGTCTGTCTCTGTTATTCCTGCAGGGAAGAGCGGGTTGATTGGCCCTTTAGTGTCACTTTAGAGCTGGACAGTCAGACAATCAATCAATAATAAAAAAGAGATGTACAAAAACTGCAAAGTCATGAAGGCAAAACTTCTTTCTTTGCATTTGAAGTATAACAAAGTCAGTCTAATGCCTGACTGACAGCAGGGGGCGCTGCAGTTCTGGCTGAAACTCTGCCTAAGTGCCTTGGAGCAATGTGATGATGGTAAAACTGCTGTTGCTGAAATTTTCATTCAGAAGTTGCTTTGATTGCTGATTTCATTCAGCTCCTGTCAGCTTAAATAGAAAGAACATGGAGTCTGGTGACGACTTTGTTCTTCCTCTTTCCACGACTGAGTATTGATCACAGTCAGTTCCCACACTATTATTAAAGGAATTATTATTAAAGGTCTCTAATGCAGGACTCCTGTTATTGATTATAGATTATTGATATGTGTGTGTAGCTCTGCCTCCTCAGATCCTGCAGTTCCCTGAGGACATGAAGATTCTGGCGGGGGAGAAAGTGGAGATCCTTTGCAAGTTTTCTGGAGCTCCGCCCATCACCTGCACCTGGCTGAAGTTCAGGAAACCGGTGAGATACACACACACACACACACACACACACACAGACTAAGGCTGAGGCTATGGTACGTCTAAGTGTTTGTCTAAGCGTCCTCCTGCCTCTCCGGTCTCGGGCTCAGATCCAGGAGGGGTCAGATGACATCTCCATCGAGAGTAACGACAGCAGCAGCAGGCTGACCATCGGCAGCGGGCAGCAGGAACACTGTGGCTGCTACACCATCGAGCTGAAGAACAGCTACGGCCTCAGGCAGGCCGCCCTCAACCTCACCATCGTCGGTGAGACAGCAGCGTCTGCACTTCCTGTTTTAATGATTCCTGAAAGAATCAGCTGCAAAAAAAAAATCATTTATTTTGCAGCTTTAATATTTTCAGCTTGTGTTCATCGTCATCTATCCCCGCCCCTCCTCAGATAAACCCGACCCCCCAGCAAAGGTTCCTGCAGCCTCAGACATCCGTCGGTCCTGCCTGACGCTGTCGTGGTACGGGCCGACCTACGATGGAGGTAGCGCCGTGCAGTCCTATAAACTGGAGATCTGGGACTCCGTGGAGCAGCAGTGGAAACACCTGGTGTCCTGCAATAGCACCTCCTACAACGTACAGGTGAGTGTTCTCTCGCAGCACGGCTCAGAAACTGTTCAAGGACTGTTTTAAGGGTCGGTGAAGTGTCTGTTTGTCTCTAGAACCTCCTCCCAGATCGGCAGTACAAGTTTCGTGTCCGGGCAGAGAACATCTATGGAGTCGGAGAGCCGAGCGCCGAATCCGAACCTGTGACTGTCGGACTGGTGGACACTGATGGTGAGTTGTTCCTTGAGTTGTTGGTGATGCATGTAGAACTTTCTTGAAGTTCTGATGGTTACAGGGATCATTCATCACACGTCAACACAGCAACTACTTTCTATCTGCCAAACTACGTCTGCCAAACGAATGAGTCAAGGACGTGTCCATGATGAGAGGCTTGTGGTGGGATGTAAGCATAAACATCTTCCTTAGCCAAGCTCACTGCATGTTTTAAGGAAGCGGTTCAGGATTTCTGAAAGCTTCCTGCTCAGTTCTTTAAATAAATGTTTGATGCTTTGAGCACCAGAAATCATTACATTGAAGAGAAGACAGCTCGTAGCTACAGAACGGTGCAGCTCACACCAAAACATCTGGATGCATAAAGCTGTCTTTAAGCTGGAGTGATGGACCCCGAGACGAGTTTTCTCTTCATTTGGTTCCAAATGGATGTTATGAAGGGAGGCCAGTGGGTACTGGGAACCACTGCTGCTTTGTAGAGATTGGGAAGCTGCTACAAATTCATGTCCAGTGAAACAGACCTGCTGTGCTCAGTTAATCTGAGTTTATGTTAATGCACAAGTTTAGGAATCTGATAAATGGGAGGATGAGTCAAATCTCACTGTTAACAACAGAAACATGATGCAGGATGCTTTGTAAGTGACAGGAGCGCCTCACTGGTGTAACAAACACCCAGTTTGACAGGGGGTACATGTTGTTTATATATTTGCATAAATAATCCTGATCTACTGTTTCCTGGGCAAATGTTCCGGTCATTGGTCGGGTCACTCATCATAGATTTGGAGTTTCTGTTGGTCTAGGTGGTCATGATCATCTCACCCCAGTTCCTGACTTAAGTGGTTGCTGGTTTTAGGCCACTAAAGTCTCGGTAGTGCCCTTGAACTAAGCTTCATAATCATGAGCTGCTGAGGTAGAAGATGAACGAGAGGGTCGTGATTAAAAAAACTTAACATTTGGTCTGATTTCATCACGTCTGCTGCTCCATGATGATTCCTAACGAAAGACCTGGTCCACCACTACCTCCAGCTGTTCACCTGTAACTAAACCAGAACCAACTAAACCAATCAAACTAAACTGCATCTCAGTGATCAGGAATGAACTAACCAGACTGACTGAACTAACTCTGCTTCGTCCAACAGAAAACCAAGAGGAGCCAGAGGAGGAGGATGAAGGTATGACACTGACTAACTGTATACCCACACGGATGTTCGTTAACCTTCACACAGCATTCACACATCTTCAGTCCTCCCGTGTCTGTGACCTCTGACCTCTGTGTGTTGCCTGTGTGTCAGACTCAGAGAAAGAGCCGGAGTACAGAGATGTGACCATCAGAACAGACATAAAGGTGAAGGACCTGTACGACGTGGAGGAGAGGCTGGGAACGTAAGTCTGCGCTCACATTTCCCATCATGCACCTTAACCTCTGTAGACATTCTCACAGTGTTGTTTGCATGGAAGGGGGAAGTTCGGTCAGGTCTTCAAGCTGGTGGAGAAGTCTACAAAGAAGGTTTGGGCCGGAAAGTTCATCAAAGCCTACTCTGCAAAGGAGAAGGACAACGTCCGGCAGGAGATCGGCATCATGAACAGCCTCCATCACCCCAAACTGGTCCAGTGTGTCGACGCCTTCGAGGGCAAGTCCGACATCGTCATGGTGCTGGAGATGTAAGTGATCCATCACATCTCCTTACATGACTGCAGCTGGCGGTGAGGAGTCACAGATGAGCTCCGCCTCTGATGGATGGAAGCAGTAAATGTCTGTTCGGTTCATAGATTTAAAACATGACCGGTCTGTAAACGGACTTGAGATGTTTTGGCTTCACAAAGTATCAGAAAATAAGTTTGTGAGCAGACATGAGAGGGATTTGAGGGCAGCTATTTCCTCTGTTGATTTTAGATCTGATGAAGCAGCGGCACCAAACTTTTTGTTTTCTCGTAAAACTGTTCAGCTGCTGAAATTTCCAGCTGAACTCTTCCATAAGTGTCTAATTTGTAGTGGGCTTCATAATTTGTCGTAATCACGGGAAACGTTCAGTGTTTATTACAGAATGTTTCCTCAGATAAACAATCTAAACGAAGTAAACAGCGACTATCTGCTGCCATGATCCGAACTGATGGAGCGCAGGAAACGAGACATTTACCGTCAGGTTTTGTTTTTTATCCGCCCTCTGAGATCTGATAACGTTCAGCAGCTTCATTACTGCGACAGCCTCGTTACAGAAATATGGTTTTTTCTTCTAACCCTCAAGAAAAGAAAAACATCTTTCATACATGTCCACACGGTGGCGCTGTTAAAGGCTGTAGACCAGGGGTAGGCAATTCCAGGCCTCGAGGGCCGGTGTCCTGCAGGTTTTAGACATCACCCTGTGTCAACACACCTGAATCAAATCATTAGTTCATTCCCAGGCCTCTGGAGAACTTCACGACATGTTGAGGAGGTCATTTAGCCGTTTGAATCCGCTGTGTTGGATCAAGGACCACCTGCAGGACACCGGCCCTCCAGGCCTGGAGCTGCCCACCCCTGCTGTAGACAGAAAGATCGAGCTTTTGGACCATGTTTAATATCTCTGGGTTGTTTATTTTTAATGTAAATATATTCAGTTTACTGTGATTAAATAAAGTAAAACTTCTGAGAAATAAATGATGTCAAAGCTGTTACAGTTATTAAGTCAAATTTAGATGTTGAGGTGCTTTAGGTTTATTTTAACATCAGTCTGGTTTAGTTCCTCCCAGAAGCAAAGAGAAGACATCAGAGGCTTTCTGTCCACAGTTACAGAGCAGCGCATTAAAACTCTAATATCTTTGCCTGTGGGGTCAGTGTTTCTGCAGCTGTATACCTGTGTGGATGTCTTGATGCATGCTCAGTCGTCCAGGTAAGGACTCACCTGTCACTTGAGTGAGTGACAAAACGTTTCTCCCACTATAAACGCTTCATCCAGACGAATGAAAGCAACTATTTTGGGTTGGATTGCAACGTACTGACAAATAAAACAAGGTTTGAAATGATGAATAACGTAACACCATGTGTTCTGTTGTAATTTAAGCAAAGACCTCCTCCCTTGCTTTGTCTACAGGATCTCAGGCGGGGAGCTGTTTGAGCGGATCATCGATGAAGACTTTGAGCTGACGGAGAGAGAGGTGATCAAATACATGCTGCAGATCATTGATGGGGTCAACTTCATCCACAAACAGGGCATCGTGCACCTCGACCTCAAACCAGAGAACATCATGTGCATCAACAAGACTGGCAGCAAAATCAAACTCATTGACTTCGGCCTCGCCAGACGGCTAGGTAACCTTAAACTTAATCGCTGATTTTCATTGAGTTCTGTTAGGCGGGTGTGGAATGACAGTCCGGCAGATAAACAGTTTGTCTGTGATCACACGGCCGATGCTTCCTCCCACAGAAAACGCAGGAACTCTGAAGGTTTTGTTCGGGACTCCAGAGTTTGTGGCTCCAGAGGTCATCAACTACGAACCCATCAGCTATCCCACCGACATGTGGAGCATAGGAGTCATCTGTTATATACTGTTAGTGCAGAGCTGCCTGCTACAATCTGTGCACGCTTTGTTTTGGCTTGATTTAGTTTGGCTGACGTTGTCGTGGGTTTGTCCTCTCAGGCTGAGCGGTCTGTCTCCCTTTATGGGCGACAATGACAACGAGACTCTGTCCAATGTGACCTCAGCCACCTGGGACTTTGAGGACGAAGCCTTCGATGAAATTTCTGACAATGCCAAAGACTTCATTACCAAACTGCTGAAAAAAGACATGAAGTAAGACCTAGTGTGTCATCAGTGTGTTACATGAAACCATATTAGTAGGTACACTGTGCTGGAAAAACTGAGAACCAGGAACTGAAAGTGTTATGTAGGAGAAAGTGTGCCAGTATAAATAATCCTGAAGTCTAGCTCATGTAAAGTGTTCCCGATCCATCTCCAGGGCTCGGCTGTCCTGCGCGCAGTGTTTCGAACACCCCTGGCTGAAACAGGACACGAACACCATGAAGGCCAAGAAGCTCTCCAAGGAGAGGATGAAGAAGTACATCCTGAGGAGGAAGTGGCAGGTAAACACGAGGACAGACAGAGACCCAAGAGTCTCACAGGACAAAGATATATTTATTCACAAATCAGTATAAGTGACCATGCGGAGAATGCACGCACGTTTCCACTGGACGTGCTTGTTCACAGACACAGACAGACATCGTGCATCATCGAGTGAGATTTGGCGTTGTGTGGTCAAAGTGTCGTAGCGTGGAAGTGCAGAGGTCTCCGTTCATGTACAACTCATTTTTTTTGGGGTGATGTTCATGAAAGTCCTTCATTTTCCCATTTGTTGCCCTTTTCCAGCCAAAATATTTGCAAATAGATGTTTTTGTGTTTTTGTCACTGGTAGTTAGACCGATAGCCTCAGTCGCTGCATCTGTCTTTGTATTTGTGTTGCAAATCTTTCTTCCTCTTCTTCGTAGAAAACGGGTCACGCTGTTCGAGCCATCGGCAGATTGTCATCCATGGCCATGATGGCTGGAGTCAGCGCCAAGAAAGGCTCCCCCACTGAAGGTAGAAAGACCAGAACAGAAAGCAGCATCAGTTCTGTGCCAGTCGCAGACAGACTGCCAACAGTTACACAGGCCTGCCCATGTCTACTGTTCAGACCTTCAGTCTGAGGTTCCTGCTCCTCTCTCTTTACGTGTCTGTGTCACAGTCTGTCCACAGACACAGTATTTATGCCCTCAATGAAGGATTGTGTGTTTAAATGTGATTGTGGGTACCACAAATTGGCATGGGGTAGGGATCAACAGTCACTTTTGGGGTCCAAATGCTGGTCCCCACAAACCTTGAGGTTGTTATAAAGTTACAGTTAGGTTATGTTTAGGTTAAAGGTCAGGCTTTCATTTTTATGGTAAGGGGCTGGGAAAGCATTATGTCAACTGAATGTCCTCACTAAGATGTGAAACTAGCATGTGTGTGTTTTCAGAGGATAACCAGTTCCTGGAGTGTTTAGAGTACGAGCAGAAAACCGAGTGTAAGCCGACGTTCAGCACTGTCATCAAAGATGTGGAGGTGGTGGAGGGCAGCGCTGCTCGCTTTGACTGCAAGATAGAAGGTACAACGATGTTTGTAGCCCAAACCTGATGGAGGGTCTGATTAAGCATTCGTCTTAACGATTCTTCCTTCTAGTAACGACTGTGCAAACGTGGTTTTTAATAAAGAAACGGTTGCTGTTGCAGGTTATCCTGATCCAGAGGTGGTGTGGTACAAAGACGACCAGCCCATCAAAGAGACCCGACACTTCCAGATCGACTACGATGAGGAAGGAAACTGCAGCCTAGTCATTTCAGAGGTCAGAGGTCATGTAAACCTTAGGCAGCTTTGTACTGAAATGCATTAGATTGGTGATATACAGACATACTGACTTCAGTCTAAGTATGGACTGGGCCTGGTGTTGGTTAGTTATCGAGTTTTCTGCGGATTATACCGTCCACCGTGTAACTGTAGGACTGGATCTGCTGGATGAGGCAGAGGTCACGTGTTTTTCTGCACGTGTGCATACCTTCATTTTAAGCTTGCATGGGAATGAGTGAGTTTGTGGCGGCTGCAACGAAGGACAGCGAGCAGATGAGGACTGTGGAGTTTGTCCTGTGCTTTGATGAAAACAACACATCATCATGGTGAAGACATTAATATCAGTAATAATTCAGTGTCTAACCTTACTGCCCCAGGCAGTGCCTCGTAGTTTTACTGGCCCAACCTTTTATATTTTATAGTTATCAGCAGTCTTGTTGAAATTTGATGTTATTTCACTTAAATCTGATGTAATTTAAAGCAATTAAAACCTTCAAGTGTCTCTTAGAATACAACATAAGACAGAAACATGCTGACATCATCTGCATCGTCATATTGATGATACTGAAAATCTCACTTTTCTTCTGTTTTGTCTTTAAGTGAAATCATTTAACACGAAGCAGAATTAATGTGATAGGTTATAATTAAGGTAGCATGTGGTTCATATCTGTCGTATAAATCTGCAGGTCTCAGGAGACGATGATGCCAAGTACACAGTGAAGGCCGTTAACAGTCTGGGGGAGGCGACCTGCACAGCCGAGCTGCTGGTGGAGGTGATGGCTGGAGAGGAGGAGGAGGAAGAAGAGGAGGAGTAATGGAGCGACTGTCTGGACTCCCACAGGGAGAGGAGGAGGCAACAATGAGCAACAATCTCTCCCACTCAACCTGTTGGACCTGAGCAGGAAACTTACCCACAGAGAAGGTTCTGATTGGAGGACAGGTGGGGAATATTTGCCACACCTGTCCTCACATGCAGAAGGTTTCGTGTTTGGTTTTTAGTGAGCAGGGCAGCACTTAGGTTTGAAGCACTGAGCATGTGCAGAGCTGCAGCCAGGTTAGATTTTTAATGAGGCTTTGTTGTGTTTCTGTTTTTTTAGTAATGAGTCGTGATCTTAACGTTTCAGCCTCCTGAGATCATTGGAGTAAATGGATGAAGTGATTTAATGTCCTGAGCGTTAAAAATATCTAACGATAAATAATCAGCGTGGTTCTTTCGCTGCACGTGTTTCTGATGTCACATTATATATTTTTATCGGGCTCAGGATGTTAAATCTGTGTGGGTGTGGCTTATTGATCCGTGTGGGGAACCATATAAGAACTTTGTGGTAAACACTCACTGAATGTTGATACTTTTCAAACTGCCCACTTCAGCCTCGCACCACATTGTGCTAAACCACACCTCCTTCAGACAGGCAGAACACAGGCTCCGCCCTCTCAGCATACATGGACTCATGCCTGTGATTTCCTGTCTGCTCTGAGAAATGATTTCATGTTTGATGATTGCCACACACACACACACACACAGTGGTGGTTTCTTGCTGTTCGACAGGCAGAAACATGATGCTCGCTGCCACACAGCAGCTGTGTCACTGCAACACTCTGCCAGTGACGTTTGCTACAATTATTCACAGTTTCCTAAATAATTTGTGAGAATACGGCCAGAAAGCCTGGACTGTGTTTCAGCTCTGTTTGACACAAACGTCGACCAAGAGTGCGTTCTAATCCCCGTCCTTATAAACACGCTTATATTTTAAAGACTCGTGGCAGCTCTAGTTCCTGCAGCTCAACCATGAGGTCGTGCATGTGAGACCCACTCCCTGTGGGAGTCCAAGGGAGGGAGAAGATGAGGCAGTTGATGGAGAGCAGGAAGGCGGAGATGAGCCGAATACTCACAGAGCTGCAGCACAGTGGAGGGCGAACTGTGAATAAAAGCTGCTGGTGCATGACAGCTGAAAGCAAGAAGTCATTTATCGTGTTGGTGCTGAAGCTGAAGCCAAAATGATACTGATCAATCATCCGTGTTAAAGAGGACCTCCTCGGTTTTTCCTGCCACCGACGCGCTGTCAGGGTTTGTGACCAGCAGGCGTGTAAAAACACTTCAGCGTGCTCTGGTTCACAAACCAATGTCCTTTTTTTCTGCCGCCACACTGAGCTGATCTCATCACTCATTTCAATACACAGCTGCCCCTCTGCAGGCTTCCAGACGTTAGCCAATCAGAAGTGCTTTTAAGGAGGGAGGCCTTAAAGAAACAGCAGGTGACAGAGCTGCGCCGCAGCCCAGTGTAAGCTAAAGAAGGATTATTATGAACTGTGAGTCTTGCAGATCATACAGAGCTGGGAACGAGTAGAAAAGGTCCACTTTTTCATACTTAATTGGAGCTCAGTAAACACTTTGCCCCACAGGATTTCTGGGTAATGAAGTCCTTCAGTTGTGTCATTAGATGCCTCTGACGTGAGCAGCTCTGTGAGTAAGAGGCTGAGGATGCCGATGCGTTCAGCTGGGAAACGCTGAATCTGTCAGCTCGGCTCTTTTCTTCTGTTTGAGCACTTTTCTTTCTTCTCTATTTGCGACTTTGACAGCCGGCTTCAACAAAAGACATCAGGGGGCTCAAATCGACTCGGCCTTACACTGTGAGCCTCAGAGCCTCGTCACTCTGAACAGCAGCCGGAGTGATTTTTTTATCTGCTGACGTCTGTCATACCGAGGGACAAAACATGCTGCGAGCTTCGGCGAGCTGAGAGGATTTTACCTCGGTGTCGACCAATGAAAGCAACATTTAGTCCCACAGATGAGAGAAGATCGAACCATAAGTTCAACAGTAATCTGATTTTTTACAATTTAAGATTTGAGCCTTTTTTCATGAGCTGCAGATATAATCGTACTTATCTCACTATGTCACAATAAAACATTTTATCCTGTAAATGTTCATATTTTTGCCTGAATGCAGGATTTTGGACCAGATGCATCTCCACGCATTGTAAGCTCAGCCAAACTGAGATTATATAAATATTTCTACAAATTTGTTGTTTCCATCTGCAACAGTTGAAGATCTCTACACTCATAAAGTATTCTGATTAGTAACATAATGAAAGAGTCCACATCAGAGACGCCTTAAAGATGGAAATATCTTTCCGACCTGCCGAGGCTTGATTGTGCAGCACAGTCCTGACAGCAGCCAGCAGATAAACGCGCGTGAGCACGCGGCGCCGTCTCCGGCTGATCTTCGTGCCTCTGCGTCAAAGTCGTGACTTTTGTTGCACATTCCAGCTGTTTGCTTGTTGGTGAATCCACTTCTTTAAGCTTTACGGCCTCGTTAAGTTTCAGTCTGAAACCAAAGACGTGTTTTGAAAAGTCACCGGTGTGTTTGTGTGTGATTTTGTCTCGATGATGTTTTGACCTGTTCGTGTGTTTGGTGGTTTGTTTCCAGAATGTTTTATTTTTAGATTATTTAATGCACAGATTTGTTATTATTATCTTTCGAGCATCTGTCTTCTTAAAGGTGTCGCCTGCACTTAATGTTGTTCACGGTTATTAAACCCTCCTCACCTCAGACCAGCAGTGACTTCACTCTTAGGCTGATTGTTTTTGTATTAGATGTATGTAGATTATATTTCTCTAATTTTTATAAATATATATCAGTTTGATGAACTGCAGATGACATGTATGAGAACACTACGACTGTAGTTACTCACAGATACCAAATAAATCTTTATCACAAAACCAGCTTGTTGTGATTTGTTCAGGGTTAAGACTTTTGTTGTTGCATTAAAAACTGTTTCTTTCCATGGATACAGACGAGAGTCTGTAAGACATTTTAAATATCTGCACATATAGACAGAAATAAAACTGTTTAAAGCATGAACACTTTCCAAACCTTTTAACAGAACACGTCACATAGAAGATTTATTCAGAGTCTCTGAATAAATCTTTTTTATCTCCAAACCTTTAGAGTCCCACGCGTGGGATATTTCGTCCTCTGCATTTAACCCACTCACCACTCTGCCTACTGAGCTATCGCTACCCCTCATGAATGAGCTCAAGTTTTTTGGGAAAATCTTGAGATCAGTGTTACACCAAAGCCTGATGACTGCAAGACCTGTGTGACAAAGATCTCAGCACATCATGTGATGAGGAACAAAGTCAGTGACATCGATCAGTCTGGAAAAAGTTAGAGACATTTCTGAGGCTGTGGGACTCCAGAGAATCACAGCGAGAGCCGATATCCACACAGAGAAAACTTGGAACAGTGCTGAATGTTCACTGCAGTGACCGGCCTAACAAAATGAGTCCATCAGCCAAACTGTAACTAAGTTTAAGAATATAATCCACCCACTGTTATCATCTTCAATGCCCTGTACCAACACAGAGCAGAGCAGCTATCTGAACGCTACCCCAACAGAGGTCGATTATCTTGTTAATAATTTCACCTCCTCACTACGTACGACTCTGGATACTGTAGCTCCTGTGAAAACTAAGGTCTCT